CAAAGCGGAAGAATTAAGAAATTATTCTCAAAACGCACTCATTTCGGTTTAGTTGGGTTTCTATGAGATCCACAAGCTTCTGAAGCTTCCGCGCTAAGGTTTCTGTGCAAAGTTACCAGTCATCAACATTTTGTTTTTCATGCTACGCTTCCCGAAAAATGAGGTGAAATTACACATCTTTCATTGGGCTGGTGTTTGTGGAGTTGAGCTCTTTCGGTCTCCACAATGTAGGTGGCTACAAGTTACGCACTTTATCTGATAAATGCTCCTACCATAGCGCAGTTTCTCGCTCAAAATACATCCTTATGCAATAATGGTCGTGAATCCTGTTGTGCCAATGCTTCTCCGTTTCAAAAAATTTACTTTATCAGAGAAGAAGAGTAGGCGGAGGGAACGCAGATGCGTTACGCAATGCTATACGAAGCATGTGGTCTACCATGCAGATTTGCATGAAATGGCCTTGCTTCTGGCAATTCAGTGGGACTTCTTGTGACTCTCCGTTGCTGTATTTGGACCACTTGAAGTCTTAGAAGACGACGATTAGGTTGAAACGAACACTATTGAAGCTCTATTGCAAGAATCTCGTATTTCCATAGAAGTTTACAGTAAAATATAAAATGTGTTTATAATTTCATCCTCATATAAAAGTTTTTTTAGAGCTAGCACAGCTTGTGCATTAGCCAAAGGGTTAAAATAACCTAGACTATGTTAAAATAATTATTAAATAAGGAAACAAAGGTATCCCTATTAACTCACCTCAACAAGATACCCGGTATCCAATAACAAAAATAGTTAAACGGAAAAACTCTCTCAAAAGAGTCTCTCCCCATACACTGCTAAATAAGCCTTAACAAGAATGTCGTCTAACAGTCTCCCGAGGAGTCTTCCGTGCAGAATACATCTTATCAACTCAAGCAGGTTTTATAATAGGATTGGTTCGTTCCTGTATTGTGCTATTCGCTTCTGTAGTAATTGGCTTTGGGACACATCAACCGTTAACTAATCAGCTTCTCATTCTCACTTATATCTTTAGCGGCACTTGCTGTTCTTCATATAAAACACCTTCATAAGTGTGAAGGTGTACGTCGTTCCGGAATGGAGCGTCAGGGAGCCGCGTTTTTCGCTTTATCTTGCTTCATTCCTGCATGCACCGAAAGCCTCCATTATGATAATTTTCCTCACGAAGCCAATTATATGCGGCGAATGTCATTAAACTGTTTCCGAAAGATCAAAGTATGAAAGCAACTCTTAAAAGCCATAGCACATCTTCTGTCTTTCAACTTTTCAATGTCGTATATGCCTGGCTAATAGATAGATCTTCCAGGTTATACTGATAGGAAGCACTAACAGCGTCATCAAACTACTTTAACAATCCTCTATTTTCAGCCTTCTTACCCTTTCCCATCTGCGATTTTCCAAAACGCGTTCAACTCCATCAGTGTTCAGAAGTCGGAAGGTATCCTAGAATATAACTACCACTTGTTAAAAAAAATCAGTATAGGATGTTTTCTTCAGTGCTGCCATGAAGATTTACGTAATTTCATTTTGCCAAATTTGTTCTTTTAGTAGATGGAAAAGATGACAGATAGTATTACCCACTCATGCTCTTATTTTTATATATTCTGCACAATTCACCATTATACAGTTCCAAAAGATGGAATCTGCAACAGTCCACTAGTGACGGAGAATTCCTGCAATAATTTATGAAGAATGTGATTATTGCA